TAAATAAATAATCATGCGTATAATAGGTATTTTTGTCCTGTAAATAATTAAAAAAGGGTAAACATTTAAATTATTGTTTATCATTATGTTAAATTCATCATAGGATACCTAATTAGGGCGTTGTAGGGTTTCTAACATACACGTAACTGATTCCTGAACCCAATTCTGGTTATGAAGACCATTATTAAATTTTGAAAATATTTTCTTTTTCTGACATTATGAGTAAAATGTCGTAGCGGCTCATTCGAATCTTTTCAAAAATCGTTGATTAGGGATTAGTCTAGTGTTCGAACATTCTCTAACTGATGAGATTTTCAAACAGAAGTTCAAACCATCTATGGGCAAGATCGAAATTTTTTGGGTTCCGACATTAAATGCTTGAAAACAAAGGGTAATTGATTAGGAGTGTTTCAAGGGAGTCTTTTTGAAGAAGTACTTCCTAGATAACATTAGATACTCTAATGGGTGGATTTCATATGGCTATACCAAAGGAACATGTCTATTTTTGAGCATGCTATAAAGTTTGAGCATCTGGATCATTTTTACTCTCAGGCCATATCTGAGGCTTGGAGATGTAGAATGTTCATAGAGGAATTAAGGCACGAGCTAAAGAAGGTTTTGGTTCCCATGTCTATAGTGGAGTTTCTGGCCTTGGTTGAGAAGGCAAAGACAATTGAGAGATTGGAAGGTAGTGGTGGCGGTAAGGCTACTAAGGGTCAAGAGAAATCATCAAGATTTAGGAAGGGGGGTCAGTAAATGAGGCCTTGTGATAGACTTGCTCAACATTAGGGAGATGTTGTCACTAGAGGACCTCAGTCTACTACTCCCTAGGAAGGAAATTAGGCAGTGATGGAGGACCATTCGAGGAGAGTACACACATGAAGACTATTGGGCCTTAAACTAAGTCCATGGTTAGGAGGCTAGAGGAGGCTTCTATAAAGGAGGTGCTTCTTAGACTTATGCTTTTAATGAGCATTGAGTATGATTCCTCTTATTAGTCTCTTAGTTTCCATTGTATAGTTTTTGTACATAGTAGCTACTTGTATAGGTGTATTTTGCCTTTGTATTTGTAAGGTACCTTTTTCTTTTCTTATAGGTCATACCCTTAGGATTCTAAGATATGTTACTTGAAGACTTTTGGTCCATTTGACCTTTTATTAAGGGTTATAGATTTTCTCATTTTTAGTAGTAGAAGTGGGGTGGCAAATAGTAGAAGTGGGGTGTTACAGAACACATAGCAAAAAATCATTTCTCTTTAGCTATTGCATTGAATTCTTCAATATCATTACTCTTGTTCTTTAACAATGTCTACTTTATCTTCAACTATGTTGTGGAAACAACACCTCCATAGGTCAAATGAAACTCATCTTACAGTAAGTTAATATATATTTCATAATGTTTATAAGTAATATTATTCATTACTAACTTTTCAATTCTACCATATTTGCATAGAACAAGTGGTTTAGTTATTCAATCTTACTATCATTCCATGCCTGGACGGTCGCTTTGGAAAATGTTGCACTATAAATGGATTTGAAGGTTGACGACAAAGTAGTCACTAGGCCTACTTTCTTTGATTGGGAAGAATTGTGTTATGAGGTGTTAGGTTTAGTACCTCCAAAAGGGGAAGCTCTAATTGGGTTGACAATAAAACTAAAATGGTTAAGAGATCATATGATTGCACTACTAAATGAACCCACTGAACAACAATTGCACCAACATTGTAGGGCATATATTTTAGGGTTGATTGGAGGTATAATTATGCCAAACAAATCAGATAACAAATTTCACTTAATGTATTTACCATTGTTGGCTGACTTAGAACATGTAGGATGATATAGTTGGGGTTCTGCTTGTTTAGCACATTTGTACAAAAAAATGTGTAGGGCGATTTATCCATCGTCAAAGAAAATGGGTGGATGTTCTTTGCTACTATAATCTTAGGCTTGGTATCGCATGCCCTTCATCCAACCAAGAGTCAAACGAAAAATTACATATCCCCTTGCTTTGAGGTATGAATTAACTTATATACCACTTTAATACATCGAACAAGTACATTCTAGCTAAATTTTAATCAATGTACAATTCTTTTAGATGGACAAGAAGAGGGCTAAGATTTACAAGCATGCCCCATGGAGATTTACTTGGCTATAGATTAAGATATGACAACATGAATCATAACGAGGTAATACAATGTCAACTTGTCTCAAACATACTCTTTTTTATTCAATTAATTTATAGCCTAAACTTTTTTCTTTTTTCAGTTTCAGTGGATGCCATAGAGGGGATTTGAGTCCACATCGCCAAGACGTGCTTACAAGGATTCCAGAATATGAACTTCTTGTACTGTTTTAACTTCATTTGTAGTTGTAGTCTAGCATCAAAGTGACAGAGTCCAATTGCAATTTGGCTTGTGGCAACCAATTCAAATGAAGCACATAATCTTGACAAAATGTGCGAAATAGACATAAGAGGACATAACGACACCAACTGGACTGAACAACATGCAAAGTAAATTTCCATATGGAAAGACAAATGCAAACATGTCTTTTGCCAACCACTTCAAGGGCCTCTCCAACACACTATTGAGTACTTGAAATGGTTTCGTGAAAATTCTAAATTATTTCTTTCTAGCCAATATTCTACATCTGGTGCATCCACTTCAAGTGTACAACTCCCAATAACTATAGGATTTCAACAACATTATCCAACACCATCACATACCCCAATGGATGGAGATAATGACCCACCTTATAATATGGAACAATATCCCCAGTCATATTTGATGAATCCACCAATACATATGCAACATGACCAATTCATGTACACCCCACCATCAACAAGAAGTCCCACGAAGGACTTCATGAGCAATCTATTTGATGTCGATGCACACACCACAAAGTGCATATGATTCCATGCAAAGTATGAATTTTCCTTTATTTTCTTCTTTTCACTCTGAGTCAGTGGAAGTGCTTTGTCGAATCTTACTACGGATAATACTCAAATAGAACATGATTAGAACTAACTTGAACTAGAACAACCACGTATTGGTCGTCGAAACCCAAAAAGGAACTGACAACCTCTAAGGTGTGGAACTTGTAGACACAGACATCATTAACCTAGCTTGCTGTTATGTAATTTGGTGGACTTTGATTGTGTTGTTCTTCTTATTTATTTATTTTATAATTTGATATCTTATTCTATTGGCACAAGTATTTCAAAATTGTTCATCTCAATGAAAGTATTATCAACTATTCTATTCACACCAACAAAGTATACAAATTAATTGACTCACTTCGTGACCTTTTATTATGTCTCTACTAAGTTAATTTTTTCCTTCACACAAGTATTTCTTCTAGTTTTTATATCAATCATTCCAACAATACCACTTTTAGGTCTCAAAAATGTTTTCTGACACCCTTTAAAAGTCATCCAAAAATTGAAAAAAATACACTTTCATACTAACATTCATTAATTTATAATAAAAATGTTAATATATATTATATAAATATTTCTTATTATATAACTTAAAAGTTTATATAAATTAATTAAATTTAATTTAAAATATATTTCAAAATTTTATCATTTATAGTTACTTATCTATAATTATTAAAGGAAAATAAAAAATAAAATATGTTTTACATATTTAAAAATATAACAAATGATTTACTAAACTAAAATATTAAATTATATGTATTTAAAATATATTTAAAATATTAAAATATATATTATTATTATTTAAATTGTAATTTCGAGTTTTAAATTCAAGTTAACTAAATTTTAAAAATAATTATATTTTTATAAAATAAATAATTTTTACATTATCTTTATTTTTAACATAAAATTTGAATATTAAATATAATATAAAATTTAAAAAATATAAAAGTTAAATATTCAAAATAATTTTCAAATTTTGAATTTTATATTAAACTAAAATAATTATTAAAATTTAAAAAATAGAAAGCAAAAAAATAACAAAAAAAAACCCTAATTGAAAAATGATTTCTGAATAATCAATTTTTTATTAGACTAAAAAAATTAAAACCCTAATTAAAAAATCAGTTATTCAAAAACCGATTTCTCAACTGTACATATGTAAATAAAAACTGACCAAAGTTATTTTAAAAAAAAAAAGATATATTAAAAAAAGTCACTTATAAGTAGTTTAGTCATTTCTTAAAAACAAAATTATAGTATTTTACTTGTAAAAATAATATTTTAAATAACATGAACATCATTAATGCTATCAATTTGAATTTTGAATAATTTATAGAATAAAATAAAAGAATAAGTACGTGTTTTTTTATCGGAAACAAATTTAGTACTAAATTACGTAGGAAAATTAATAAAGTATACAATATTACGCAACTCAATACACGTTTACTAATTTTAAATTTTTTTTCAAAGATTTGTCTAAAATTTTCAATTTTAAAGTGTTAAAAGTAAGTAATTATTTTTCTAATTTTGAATGACACCAAACTTAGACTCAATTTGAAAACTCAAGCATCATTGAAAGAATCGTTTGATATAAAATAAAATAATCTACAATCTTAAGTTTCTTTATGCAAAAAATAAGTAATAAAAATCTTATTGGGCATCTTACTACATATTGGAGATAGCACTTGTGAGAAAAATAACAATTAAAAGTCACAGCACAATGTTAAAAAAAATTATTATCCTTTTATTCATCTATATAACTTCATTAAATTTTTTTTCTAATCCTCATAATATCTACACATTTTTTTTCTTTTTCAGTCTCTGCTCTATATTTATTGAAACTTAAAAGTAAAATTTATGAAATTATTAAAAATTAAGCAAAGACAAAAGCAATATTAATAGGAATTAAAATAAATTTTAAACCAAAAAGATTTCAAGATAAAGTTTATTAAATTATGTTTAACTTAACTGAAAATGATATCATAAACTATGTATTCAATTAATTAAACCACTAGTTGATAAGATGACGATACAGGGGAACTGAATTGACAAGAAGAGGAATCAAATCATAATCAAACAGTAGATATTAGAGGGAAATCCACATCCACTAGTTAGCATTTCATTCCATGTCCACAAGCATTGGATTTAGACCTATGAAATAAATTAAAATAATAAAAAAAATTAATGCGCCACTTTATTTCACACGTGAAACAAGATCGAGTCCAAGAACCAGAAGGGGCACCCAGGCCAATCTATTAAAGCAAAAAGGATACGCTGGTAATTTGAAATAGTGATGAACAACAATAACAGGTTCAGAAAAAAAAATAGAAAGAAAAAGAAAAATGAAAAATGCCCCCCTCCCAAAAAAAAAAAAAAGAAAAAGGTTTTCCGAATCATTTGTTTGTAGGGGTGACCGAACTATGAGTTGCTTACCTAGAGGCTAGAGTCACCGTGGCCGTTGGTTCCTTCGGTGACAGACGCGAGCTTCTGGAGATTAAGCTTGACAACGGTGTCGGCGAAGAGACGCGTGTCCTCCTCGGTGTTCCCCTCGGGGACATCGACAACGTAGGATTCGAGAACAACGGTCCAGATCTTGCCGTCGCGGTCGAAGCCGTGGACGGAGGTGACGGAGCGGTAGTTGCGGAGGCGGTGGTCGCCCCCGACGATGGTGAAGCCGATGACGTGTCGGTCATCGTCGAGGAGGTCGAGGCGCTCGGTGCTGGTGGCAGCCGGTAGCCCGGAGATGACGGTGACGTCGCGGGTGCAGCCCACGACCAGCTGGAAGCCCTCGTTGACGTGGCAGCTCCTGATGAAGTGCTTGTAGGCCTGCGGGGTGTCGAAGCAGCGCACCACGGCCCAGACGGCGTGCGGCGGCGCGTGGATTCGCTGCGCCAGGAGGGAGGAGCATTGGCGCGGCCCCACCGTGTAGGTGTGGTGGTCGACCACGGAGGCCTTGAGGTCCTCCATCTCTTCCCGGGTTAGCCCGGATGGGAGATCGGCCTCGTGTCGGGTCGGGTGCGGGTCGTTGGGATCCTGCTCTGCGCTTGAGCCCTGCGGTTTGTCCATAGCGCAGAGAGGGAGTGAGTGAGTGAGTAAGTAAGTGAGTTGAATGAAACTGAAAAGGGTAATTTTGAGAATAAAACTATTAAAACCCTTTTCTGCTGCACTGGCCTGCGCGCAATTGGAATGCTCTCGGTATCATTTTGTCGTTTTCTTTATTTTCTATAATACAACTATTTCCCAATTTTCGAATATAAAATGATGGCTTTCTTCATTTGAGCGTCGTCCCTCCTCCAATTATAGCATACTGTCGCATATGCTCCATTCATTTTAAAGTAATTGTTGGATTACAAAGTTTTAATGAAATCTCAAATTCTATAAGAAAAATAATAGTTGAAGGAAGAATGAATAAAGTACAAATAGGTAATAATTTTTTTTGTTTATTATATTTTATTATCCTTTACTTTTAATTTTTAAATAAAAATTTAAATATATTTTTAATCTCTTAAGTTTAAGATAAATTTAATTTTGAATTTTTAAATTTAAAATTATTATTTTTAGTCTTTATAACTTTTAAAAATCTTATTTTAATCACTCAAATCATCAATAACATATCTTAAAACGATAAATTAAGACGATTATACAATATTAACTAAATTTTATATAATATTTTTATTAATAGGGATACTAATAAATAAATTTTATATAATAATATTTGAAATTTTTTTAACAAAATTTAAATATAAGTACTAGAATAAATTTTTTTATAATTACGATATTAAAAATAATAATTTTATATTTAAAAAATTAAAAATAAATTTATCTTAAATTTAAAAAATTAAAAACATATTTAAACCTTAAATAAATTTTATCTTATTTTAATCTCTACAACATTTTATGAACGAAAAAATTCGGCACCAGAAATTTTTAATCGGAGAAAGAATCCAGAAATTCAAAAAAAAAAAAAAAAAACAATTGAGAATTAGAACCAGTAAAAGATTAGTTTAGGAGCTAACGGTGACTAAAAATATTTTGAATTTTATTTTTTATTATTATAAAAGGATAAGTAACTTAAAAACTATTAAAACAACACACGAAGGGGTGTGTGGAAATATTTAAACTAACTTTCAAAATATTCTTATTTTAACATTATTATAATTTATTTACATTGTTAATACGTATATGATGTCATCTATAAGTTTCCATTCAATTATTAACAATTGATGTTGACATGGTCATGTTTAAAAATAATAACATGGTTGACATTACTAGAAGTTAAAAGGGGGATTTAATTACTTGTTTTATCCTTCTAATTTAAACAGTGTGTGGTTTTAGTTCTTACAAGTTTTTTTCTTTTTAGCCAATCAAATTGGTCTACTTTCAAAAGTTGCCTGATTTTATAGTACAGCCATTATCTCTGCCTCACTATCCAAACACAACAACGCCAACTTTTACACACACCAAACTTACCACATAGCTAGTTGTCACTGTTATCCAAGTCCACAAACCACCCACCAACAATCTATATGGTTGTTTAAGAACCAACGCCATTATCCTTTAATAGAGTCAAACTTATACCTAGACGGACCCCATTTGTTCAACCATGAGGCAAAAACATATAAGCTACCCACATGCTAACCCAAAATAGAATAGTTATCACTCATAATGGCTCCTTATCATCATCAAGAAGGAAAATCCACACTTGTCCCACACATCTACCGTGTCCTAATAGGTAAAGCCTTACAATAAAAACCAGAACATGTCGCCTTCAATTGAGCATGGTACTAGTATGCAAAGGAGTAAGTATATAACGATAGCAAACAAAGTCTTCAGGGGTTCCCGGGTGTTTGTTCTTATTTTATGTAGGAATGTTCACGGTTGGTTTGGAGCTATTCAAACAGTGCAATAAATTATAAGTTTGGATAAGTTGAGTTAGATATAACATTTTAGTTTGGATTGGGTTATTGCGTAAAAAAAAAAAAAGTTATCTTAACAAAAAATTATCACTTAAATAAATACCAAAAATTCATAATGAATCAATACTCATTTTAATATTATAACCGTCTAATGACAACTAATTGTAATGGAAATTATATAGAAGTAACCACCTTGTGTAAGATAATTTTAATTACTATATTACTTTTAATCATCTTTTTCATGTTTAAAATTAAAATAAATATATCAACAATAATATTAATTTCATCTTATGGAGAGAGAACAAGAGAACACAGATAAGAGTACGAGATATGGAAATATCTTGGAGAAGCCACCAATCAGCAAAGGGGAGGAAGGCTAGTAAAGGAAGACTTTTCGGGAGAAACTTGTAGGATCTTCTACTGGTCCAAAAAAATTGCAAAATCTTATGGAGGAGGGAGTCATGTGTTTGGTCTATGAAGGAGGAAATTGACTGTTACCTAAATTCACCATTGAACTGGTGACCTTCGAACAACTCTACATTCCCTAGAAGAAATGTTTAGTGGTGAAACTACTAGTAAAGAATATTGGGTTCCTAATAATGTGTGAGAAACTTTGATGAATTTGGAAACTTAAAGGAAGCTTCTAATTGATGGATGCAATTCATGGCTACTACTTTGTTAATTTTGATATTGAGGGAAATTAGGAGAAGTTATTAATGGTGAGTCATGGATGATCTTTGATTATTACCTTATTGTAAGGCAATGGTCTGCAAATTTCGCGCTACATAGAAAATAGTATACTATACAAGACCCTATGTTGGGTTCGTTTCCCAAGTTTGGGAATAGTCTATTATGATGAAAGTGTATTGTTATCCATTGCTTCTGCCATTGGAACACCTATTAAGGTGGACACAAACACTCGTAATATGACACAAGGTCACTTTGCTAGAGTATGTGTTCGGATTGATCTTAATGTCCTTGTAGTGGAGAAATTCAATTTGAATGCCAATTGGTATAATGTGGAGTATCACTACAAGAAAACTTTACGGAATATTATTTATGGAAATTTTTCCGTAGATAACGTTTAATTATTTACGGAATTTTTTCCGTAGATAATATTTAATTTTCTACGAAATATTATCTACAAAATTTTTTTCGTAGATAATGTCCAGTTATCTACGAAAATTTCCGTAGATAGAGAAGAATAATCAAGTCCACAAGTATGAAGAAACCACCAAGCTTTATTTTGTCTTCGACGAGTTATACTCCTCAACCGAATGATGGAAGATTCATGAAAATGCCAAGACCAGGAATGCTTTCCTACTAAAGCCAGGAGTGACTTCCAAAATAATACTCATCAATAAAGATTGAGCAAATAACATCATCATGGGATGGGATCTTGATGGAGGACCATCCTTGGTACTTCATGTGAGACCCATCACATGGTTCATGGCTAGGAGAATGGAGAGATACCATGTATGGATCCATCTCCTAGGCCCAATTTGAGTAGTATAGAATTTTATTTCTTTATTCCAATTTTACCCTTGTACTTTAGGGTATTTTAGTCATAGAATTTATTTTACTTATATTTCCAATTTTACCCTTGTATTTTGGGGTATCTTATTCATAGGATTTATTTTTTTTTGTATTTCCCATTTTACCATTGTATTATGGGGTGCTCTAGATGATTAGGATTTTAATTTTAGGCTAGGGTTTAAAATTAGGAGGTGACACTTTTTTGGTGTTCTTGGACCTATTTTTGGTGTTAGAAAGGCTTAGGCCCAAGTGGAGGGCAAAGGTTGCATGGTCTTATCATGCACCTAGATATAGCCAATCTAAACCCAAAGATGCCATCCTTGGCCACCAAGTTGCATCTAGGATTAATTTGCATTTCATTTGGAGTGCATTTGCCTTGTGAATTTCGGCCATGCATACTCCAAATGCAACTCTAGATGCCTCCCACTCCTATAAATACCCAATGCACCACACCTTGTAAATACTTTGGATTATATGATATTGAGTGAGCATTATTTGCCTCAACATCCCTTCCTTAGTCACTAGGTTACCTTTGGCTAACCTTCTCCTATCTCCACCATTGGAGAGTGAGAACCCTAGAGTGGCCTCCATCTACCTTTGGAGTGAGCCAACCTTTGAGCACCCAAAAACTTCTGCCACCCTTCACCATATCACGCCTAGTTTCCTTTTCCCATCTTAAACATTCCTTTGCCTAACCTTTGGTGAGCCTAGATCATGGGCAAGGTGACTCCCTTCAACACATCACTTACAACCATGGAAGGAGGGTCTCCATCAAGTGGTATCTAGAGCCAAGGTTCATCAAGGGTAATATCTTGTCCTCCTTGTCTTCTTGCTTATTTTTTCTCTATTCAGTCATTTCTCTCCTCCTTGTCATTTCTTGTGTGGCCGAATAGTTTTGGGCTCATACCTTGTTCCTTGTGAGCCTTCCTTGAATATTTTAGGTTTCCATTGCTAGGTACAATGGAGCTTCTACTCGAAGACTGAATATCAGGTGTATAGTTTGTCAGTCTTGTTACCCAATAGAGTACGCAACTGCTCTAAAGGGCGAGGATACAAACAAATACACCTATCCAAGGGAAACAACGCAGAAGCGCCAACACCAAAGAGATAAAGAGAAGACCCAGACGAAATGTCTACGTCTTTACTTGCCTTTGGAAAAGCAACACATTAATATTTCAAAGGACAAGTAAAGAGGGGCAGCTGTAGACACCCAAAGCATGCAAACAACAGGACAGGACATTGGGAGAGCGTCGAACAACACAAACCTCAGGTTTAAAAAGCAACACTAAATTCGACACGGCTAAAGGCTAACAATCCATGTCATTGATCAATGCGCATAGATTAATTTCTTGAAAGTAAAATCAATCTGCATTTAAGCGTTAGCATAGAGGCATCATTGCATAGCATGCATAGGGCACAAGTGTGCACAAAAGGGTATAACTTCACTTTTAAAAAAAAAATCCAATCCATTCGTGCTTTACATTTTCTTTTGCATTCTTGCATTCTTTGTGTATGTCTATCCATCACTTGTCGGAGGAATCAATAGGCCGAAGCACTCATAAAAAGATTAACAGCTAGACAGTGCCTTAAGAGCCAAGATCATGTCAAAAAGTCTAGCCCCAACAAGGGCATTCCATATAAGTGGTTTCATATAACCACCAAGAAAAGAAAGACACGTCAACAAGACAGGATAGAACTAGGAGAGAAGAATAATCAAGTCCACAAGTATGAAGAAACCACCAAGCTTTATTTTGTCTTCGACGAGTTATACTCCTCAACCGAATGATGGAAGATTCATGAAA